AAAAAAAAAAAAAAAAGAAAAGAAAAAGAAATAGCTGGGTGTAGTCGCTCACACCTGTAATCCCAGCTAATCCCAGCACTTTGGGAGGCTGAGATGAGAGGCTTGCCTGAGCCCACAGATTCCAGACTAGCCTGGGCAACATGGTGACACCTCATCTCCACAATAAATCAAAAAATTAGCTGGGCACAGTGGTGCATGCCTTTGGTTTCAGCTACTTGAAAGGCTGAGCCGGAAGGATTGCCTGAGCCCAGCAAGTTGAGACTGCGGTGGCCGTGAGTGTGCCACTATACTCCAGCCTGGGCAACAGAGTGAGACTTCTACTCAAAAACAAAAACGAAAGAAAGAAAGATGCAAAGAATTGCACAGAAGTTAGGTTAGAAAATATAGTTTAGAAAGTAAATTGGAGCGAGAGAGAGAAAGAGGGGATTCACCTCCCCAAAGGAAGGGGGCCAAAGCTTAAGAAAATATGTCCTGGACATAGCTCCAAGAGCCTGTGGCCACACCATAGCTTAGCAAGGCAGTGGCTAATGGCTGCTCATGTTTGAGTCCTTTTAATCCTTCCCTTTGATGGGGGAAGGTCATTAAAGTGATTGAGTGGTGGTCTGCTCCATGTCATCACAAAGGGGTTAGGTAAGCAAAGGTACTGACATCAGGTGATGGACCCCAGGCTGACGGTGGGTTAGTCATGATTGCTGCCTTGGTGTGGGGGGGGGAGGACTGTCTGTGTCACGTCAGGAGCAGCTGATTATGTTAACTTGGGTGTTTGAGCCCGGAGGGGTTTTTTCCTGCTAGAGACCTGCCAGACTTTTGCAATCCACAAACTCCTTAGCAAAAAGGTGTTCTATTATCATTTCTATGACTCTGTCTTTTATCAGATGGAGATTTGCCGAGGGGGTGGGGCAGGCTGCCACTTGGCCTGCAGTAAAACGTAATTTTAAAATGTCTGAACCCCTTCTAAAACCTGCCTACTTGAAATTTATCTGTGTCTAACCTGTGCTAGACTCAAAGCGTGTCAGGGGTAAAGTCTAAGCAAAAATGGTGATGCTAGCCGGGCTTGGTGGCTCAGCCTGTAATCCCGCGCCTTTGGGAGGCTAAGGTGAGTGGATGGCCTGAGCCCGCAGGTTCGAGACCCACCTGGGCAGTGAGACCTCATCTCTACAATAAATCAAAAAATCAGCCGGGCGTGGTAGTGCATGCCTGTAATTCCAGCTACTCGGAAGGCTGAGGCAGAAGGATCGCCGGAGCCCAGCAGGTCGAGGCTGCGGTGACGGGGAGCGGCCACTGCACTCCAGTCTGGGCAACAGAGTGAGACTCCAACTCAAAAAAAAAAAAAAAAATGGTGATGCTGAGGCAAAATGTGAAGTTTATTTTGTTTATTCTAAGTTTCTTGAGATCCCTCCTTTCATATATATAAATTTCATATATATATGTATATACATATATGTATATATGCATATATGAAAATTTTATATTTACATATATATGTTAAATTTATATATGAGATTACTCAAATTATATAGAGGACTGACTTTGCTGGAAGCCCATCAGCAGCACCACTGACTAATATGAGATACAACTATTAACTATTTAACTGGACTGGTCTAGTTAAATAGGACTAAGAGACTAATTCAATGTCTTACAAGACGTTCACCAGCTCAATTTTGGGACTATGATACTTATTTTAAAAATTTCATATCACTGGTTGCAATGGCTCATGCCTATAATCCCAGCACTTTAGGAGACTGAGGTGAGAGGATTGCCTGAGCCCACGGGTTCGAGACCAACCCGGGCAACTTGGCGATAACTCATCCCTACAATAAATTAAAAAAACTAGCCGGACGTGGTGGCACACACCTGTAGTTCCAGCTATTTGGAAGGCTGAAGTGGAAGGATCACCTGAACCCAGTAGATCGAGGCTGCGGTGGCTGTGAGCATGCCACTGTACTCCAGCCTGGGCAATAGAGTGAGACTCCCATTCAAAAAAAAAATTCATATCAAGGAATTTTGGGGTTAAGAGGACAATACCCCAAAATGAAATCCTTAAAAGTAGTCTCAGCAGCAAAAGATTTCTCTGAAATTCTCCTGCCCTCCTGTCACTCAGTCCCATCCTCCGCCAAGGCTAGGTTTTTTAAAAAACAGAACCCCTTCGCCCAAAAGCCCGTCATAAAACCTAAAATTATTTCTTTTAAAAACTGGTCCTAGCCGGGCTTGGCGGCTCAGCCTGTCATCCCGCGCTTTGGGAGGCTGAGGTGAGTGGATTGCCTGAGCCCGTGGGTTCAGGACCCGCCTGGACAACTTGGCGAGACCTCATCTCTACAATAAATCAAAAATTAGCCAGGCATGGTAGTATGCACCTGTAGTTCCGACTACTTGGAAGGCTGAGGTGGAAGGATCGCTGGAGCTCAGCGGGTCGAGGCTGTGGTGGCCAGGAGTGGCCACTGCACTCCAGTCTGGGCAACAGAATGAGACTCCAACTCAAAAAAAAAAAAAAAAAAAAACTAATCTTAAGAAAAATTATCTGACCTACCTTATTTGACTATAGGTCATAAGACCCCCATTCCAGAGAGAAACCTACCCTGAACCCTAAAGGAAGAAACACATGACTCAGAGTCGCCAAGAAGAATCTAGACATACAGAGCTTGCTGGGTTTCCCTCCTCTGTCTATTAACATTAGATCACATCCTTTTAGTCCAATCATATTTCTACATGACTGGCAATACTTTATTAAACTTAAACATAAAAATAGACAACCCCCCCATATCTTCATTCTAAAGGTCCCATTTATACATATTAAATAAATGTATATGCCTTTTCTCCTACTCATCAACCTGCCCCATGTCAGTAATTTCTGCAAACCGTTAGCGGGCCAAGGGTCTTGGCCCCCATGCCACTCAGGCCACACTGGGTCCAGCTCAGTAGGTGGCACCCTGGGCCTCTTTCCCTTTCTGTTCACCCACTAGCTCCTTGCCCTTTGGGCCTTCACTAACTGCCAGTCTGGAACCATCTCAGGCAGGTGCCGCTCAGCCCCTGCCCCCACCAGGACAACCAGGCTCAGGACCCCCTGAAGTGAGACTGGCATCCCTTCCTCCAGTCCTCATGTCTCTCTCTGTGACCCTCCCAGTGGGAGCTGCCTCATCATGTAGTTGAAAGGACAGACTGAGAGTGGGAAGCCATTTTTCATCTTGTTCTTAAAACCTGATGCAATGATGAGAAAGTAGAAGCTATGCTTTTGGAGAAAGGCACACTTTAAGTCAAATTAACTTTGCCGACTTTGTCTTTTCAGGAACAGACTTCCTGGTGCCAGGTATTTGAGGTATCTCATAGTGTCAATCAAGCTTGCCTAGAGTAAAGGGAATTTACAAAGCCTAAGACATCATGCACAGGGCAAGGATTATAAAAGTCATGAAACTTCTAATTACAAAAGTTATAACCACTGAGAGCAGAGGGAGAGTAGGTGGGAATTTGGTCTTCCAGTAAATTGGGCCCCATCTACAGGGAAGCCAAGGATCCCCCAAAGCTACCCACTAGGAGATAAGGGCATGTGCACCCTTCATTAGCTCTAAGGAATGTCGTTCAGGAAGGTGCAGGAGCATTAGAATCCTTGTCACACCCTTCTCTAGGGGCTATGATAATGTGGGCAGACATTAACGGGTCTTGGTGTCACAGGTGCCCCAAGACATCCACAGGTGGTCCATAAGGAAGTCCCGGCAGTCACGTGCAACATCTCCAAGGAAAAGGAGTTCAGCCAGGGCTTTGGGAGTTATGCTGCCACACTCACCTAGAGCGTAGGCCCACTCCCTGTCTGTTGGGGGTGAAGTTTTCTTAAATAAATCTTTTCTTCTCTCACCTCTGTGTGTTGCAATTCTTTGCATGAACTCGGATCTCTGGGTTGCCAGCGCGTACCTCTGGCTTGCCGGCTCTGGCGGTACTGCCCCTCTCTGCTGTGCCTCTCCCTCTCCGTCCATCCACCCTCACCCTGTCCATATCCTAACAATAGGTGCCACACGTCTCTCCTGCTGTGGGATGCAGACACCTCCAGTGTCGGCCTCCCTCCAGCTCCTCATGGGCGCTAATGCCTCGCACACTCCTCCCCTTCCTGACCCATGAATCAGCCAGGTCTAGTTGCATGCTTCTAACTTCTGTCCTTCCTGCTGTAGTCTCAGAGAGGAGAAACAGAGCTCGATGTTTGACTGTTTCCATCCCCCCATCCCAGCATGCTCTGTGAATTGCTTCCTTTCTCCCCCAATTCTGTTTCCCCACTCTAACCTGTCTCCTTGTAGCTCAGAATCTTCTCTGACCTTTCAAGCCTCTTGCTGACACCCTGCACAGATGAGGGGGCTTATCTGCCTGTTTCACACCCAAGGGAGAGAGATCCAGGGGAGAGTCAGAGCCAGGATCAGAGCTGAGACCCATACGGAGATGCTGCTACTAAATAAGAGGGAGACAAGCCATGGCTAGGCGCAGTGGCTCACGCCTATAATCCCAGCACTTTGGGAGGCTGAGGTGAGAGGATTGCCTGAGCCCGCGGATTCGAGACCAGCCTGGGCAAGTTAGCGATACCTCATCTCTACAATAAACCAAAAAAGAAAATTAGTCAGGCATGATGGTGGGTGCCTGTAATTCCAGCTACTCGGAAGGCTGAGGCAGAAGGATCGCCTGATCCCAGCAGGCTGAGGCTGTGGCACTGCACCCCAGCCTGGGTGACAGAGTGAGACTTCAACTCAAAAAAAAAAAAAAAAGAGGAAGACTCCTAGTGAATGCCTCACCAGGGCCATCTGTCATCTCCAGGGTTTATAACGGTGCCGGTTTGAAAGTTGACAAGGTGCTTCAGCATGAAGCTATCAGTGATTTTCATCACCACCACGTGCGTAAGGGAATATTCCTCTTTTTCAGATGAGGAAACAGGCCCAGAAGTTTCAGTCGCTTGTTCTAGTACTATAGCTACTAACTATACTGGAGAACAGGGTTAAATTCAGGGCTTTCTCACTCCAAATCTCTCATTCTTTTTACTGCACTGGCATAAACTTTGACCTGTAAGGGAACAGCGAACTGTTCCAGAGGGAGAGGGTGGCCCACCTCTCCAAGAGACTTGAAGACTTAGGACCTCCTACACAGGTCTTGGAATTAGAGAGAACTTTACTTCATATTGACTACAATATCTCCTTCTCAAACAGGCCTCTTTCCCTGTCATCCCATTTAAAATCATCACCACCACAATACCCCGTGTATTCTGCTCCTGGTTTTTTTCTTCATGAGGTTATTACATCCAATGTGCTAAGTATTTTACATATGTCTGTCTACCACACACCCTGGCCTCTAGAATGTCAAACATCATGCAAGAATTTCTGTCTGTTTTGTTTGTTATTGTATCCCTCGTTTTACGGTGTTTGGCATATAATAGGTGCTCAATAAAAATGTACTTACTGAAATAAATCTTTAAAATGAGAAAGGAACACAAGCTTTTTGTATCTCAGTCCAAAACACAGATCCTCTATGGAGCCTTTCAAGTGAGTCTGGGGTTCTGAAATATTTGTCTCCCCACCCCCACCCCCACCCCGGGACTTGGACTGTACTGAGAAAAGTCACCCTAGGTACGCAGGGCCCTGCATTCACCCTAAAGTGAGGACAGCAGATGGGTCTCAAGGCCTCTTTATTGTGGGAGATGCTAATGGGGCCTCGTTAAAAGCTTCTCATTACCCAGCTAATCACAAGGCTGTGTGGGCAAAGAACATGGGCCAAGACCCAGGGTTGGGAGCATTTGGCAGGATGAGGAGAGAAGCGGAGGCTGTTTACATGCAAACGACATGACTGCCTTGTTCCTTTGAGACGCTGGGTTCCTAATTGGACCCATCCATCTCCCTCCTTCTCCTCTCTTGCCCCCACCGATCTGGAGATGGAGGCCCAAGCTAGGAGGCTGGAGGTAGCTGGGTATGCCGGAGGAGGAGGTGTGAGACCAAGAGCCTCCTGGGCCCATCCCTGCATCAATCCCTCTCCCCCAACCCACCTGTCCCTGCCCCCAAGCCTGGCACCAGGGAGGCAGGGCTTCAGCAAAGGTCCACCATCAATAATGTCCTTTGATGATGCAGCAGCTCTGAAACGATGGCAGGAGCCAAGGATGGGGGAAGCAAGGGGGTGGCAGGGAGAGCTGATCACCCTTGATCTCTGGGATTAGCCAAGACTTGAAAGAGCTGATGCTAAGACCCACTGGAGAGGTGATGCAGGAGGAGGGCGTTGGAGGGCCAGAGCCGGCCAGGCGTCATCTTGCCTACAAATCACATGGAAATGACCAGAGAGTGGATGTTGCTGTAACAGAGCTCCTAGGGTTTTTTTTTCTTTGAACACCTATTCTATATTGAACGGTATCTCAGTTGCCTTCCCTGGCCTAGAGAAGTAGATGCTTGGAGTCCAGGGTCCCCGGGAGCTCCTCCCCTGCAGCTCTCCTCTTTGTTATCTGCCAGGGCAGGTTGGGGTGAGGCCAGGGAAAGGTGTGTGCAGCTGTGCTGAGATGAGACAGGTTAGCCGGTAGTTCACTGGGGCTGGAGGTGGAGGCAGACCCAGCACGTGCTTATGCACACAAGACGGCCTGAAATGCCCATCACACATACAACCTGTGGACTCCCTCGACATCCTGGAGGGGACTGGGGGTGGGGAGGTGAGGGCCAGGGCCATGTGTGACACTGGGTGGAGGTACCAGTGAAGAGTGGAAGGATGGCAGCTTCCACGTCCTGCCATATCCTGCAGCCAGGAGACAGATGGAGAAAACACACAGAGCAAGGAACAAGATTCCCTCAGAGCCTGGGGGAAGGATGGATTGAGCTGGGAGGACCAAGCCTGGGGAGGGATGGACTAAGCCTGGGGGAGGAATGGACTGAGCCTGGGAGAGTACAGAGCCTGGAGGAGAGATGGCCTGAGCCTGGGGGAGGGATGGACTGAGCTGGGAGGATCAAGTCTGGGGGAGGGATGGATGGAGCTGAAAGGATGAAGCCTGGAAGAGGGATGGACAGAGCTGGGAGGACTGAGCCTGGGGAAGAGATGGCTCAGGGCTCCAGGGGGATCAGGGGAAACAGAATGGCTTGTGCCCCTCAGAGGCTAAAACAACCTAGACTTTGAGAGCGCTGCCATGTTCCAGAAGGAAGAGGGCTGGGAGAAGCGGGCAGAGGAAGCAAGGGGAGGACTGGAAGCCAAACTCCAGTTTCTTACACGGTGATGGAGCCAATTCCAGCCTTGTAACACAGATGGGGAAACTCAACCCTTAGAGGCTTTAGGAGATGAAAACAGACACTCCTGGACTCCAGAAAAGAGCAGCCGAGACAGAAAAGAGAGGAGAAGGGAGAGATGGAAGCATAGAGAGGAAGGAGGGGTGCCCCATCCTTGCTTGAGCTGGCACCATCCACATGACAAACACAGGAGGGGGCCAGGGGCTCTAGCCCCTCCACCTCCCCAGCCCCGGGGGAGCTGACAGTGCCTTCAGCCCTGGAAAAGGAAATGCAGGGTAGGGAGCAGCAGCTGCATGTTCTCCTGAAATTGCTTCTGAAAATGACCAGACACTTCACTGGGAAAGTGACGACAATTTGGGCCCTGGGAGCAGGAGATGAGGCGGAGAGCGGGGGCGATCAGGGGCGGGTCACCAGCCCCTGGCGGCCAGATAGGCTCTTCTCGGCCTGATTCTGAGAAGTCAAGGATGGGGGAGCTGTTGGGGTGGGGGAAGGCTGGCCAGACACTGCCCGCCCAGGCAGGCCCTTGTCCCTCACTCGCTGGGCACAGCTGACTTGCTGGGTCCTGTCTCAGCTCAGAGCAGGGGGTGCCAGAAGTATGGGCCTGTGCTCAGAGAGCAGATTAATCTGCAGGCAGGAAGAGACTGTAATCAGGTCTCCCCGCCAGTGTGATTACCTGGGCCGTGAGCTGCCTGCAGATGGAAGTCGATGGAGGGAGACCCCAGCCTCAGGGCACTGTGAGCTCTGGAAGAGGCAGGAAGAGGCAGGGAAGGTAGGGATCTTGAGAGGAGGGAGACAGCCAGAGAAGAAATAAAGCAGCCCTCACAGCCCACAGGGCAGAATTTTACTGCAAATATGTGAGCGGCTGGTTCCCCAAAGGTAGAGACAGGGATGGTGAGAGGCTGAGATGAGACAGAGTCTGTGAGAAAATAGATATGAAGGGGAGTGGAAAATAAAGCATTATGCAAAATATTACATATGAATATTAGTCGGAGCCCACAGGAAGGGGGACAACGGGGTGGTGTCACACAGGTGGTGAGTGAAAAAAAGATAATGATGATGATGATGACGCAGAAAAAAGAGATGAAGGTCAGAGGTAAGGGCCGGGTCACAGCGACAGGCGAGTCTTGGTGGGGGAGCCTCCTGGCAGATGCCACCAGGTGCAGGCCCAGTTGTGGGACAGTGACCCCCAGGATCCCTGTTGGCAGCAGCTTGGCATCCCAGGTGTGTGGAAAGGAAGGGTGCCAGGGAGGCTGGTGACACAGCCCAGCACTGAGTTTGGGTGAGGGGGTAACAATGTGCCGGGTGCAGGGACCCTGCGTTCCCAGTTCCCTGCAGCTCGCAGGAGCCTCCGGCCTCTTTTCCAGCTCAGTCTCCAAAGGATCCCAATATCTGCCAAGACAGGGATTCTCACTTCTTCCCTCCAGGGACACACTTAATGAATCAGCCCATTGGCCACCTGCGACCGGAGCCCCATCCCCGACTCCCCCACACCCACCCCAGTCTCTCCAACCCCACCCCCACCCCAGAGCTCAGCCGGTCAAGGAGCTTGAAGACAATTTCCCTTCTTATTCTCTGCACTCACTGGCTTTAAGGAGCTCGAGGGAGGAAAGGGGCATGGGGACGGGGAACTAAGTACATTGGGCAAGAAGATGGGGGAACAGGGACCCACCCACATCGACCAAACCTTTCCAAGTCACAAGTTTTATTGGTGGACAAAGAGGCTGAGGGTGGGAGGAAGTTACTTTTGGAGGAGAGTACTGGAAGGGTTTGGGAGAAGGGTTCTTTCAAGGGTTCTTCAATCTCAAAGCACCCCTGCCACAATCAGGGGTTAGACGTGAGATCTTCCCACACAGGTGGGCAGAGGGGCTGGTCTGGTCTGGGGAGAAGAAGCTGCCATCCCATGTTGGGCCCCCACCTCCTCACTGCACGGTAACCTCCAGGCAATGACTCCCCTTCTTCTTGCAGCTTAGCTTGCTGCTCCCACCACCCCCCGGGTGCTGGATGACCTTGACAGACACACTGCTCTCCTTGAACTTCACTGAGAACCTGGAGGGGGAATAGACAAAAACCAAAGCTAGTGCCCATCCCCTCACTCCCACCCCATTTCCAGGACTGCATCCCTTCTCTTTGCCCCACCTTCTGTCAGATGGCTGGGCTCCCAAGAACTTGGGTGGGGGACTGAGAAACCTGTCCATGCCCTGCCCTGACATAGCATGGCTTTCTGACCCCTGTCACAATGACCATCAGCCTGGCTGTCTGCCCAAGCCGTCCCTTACCCTCAGCCCATGGCCTTACTGTTCAGTCACGGCGACTGGAAGCTGCCTCTGCGTGGCCTCCAGCACAGCTCGGTACACTTTAGTCAGCAGTTCAATCACATGCTCACTGACCAGCAGGAAGTCCCCCTTGGCCTCCTTGGAGCCCACCAATGGCATCTTAGGAAGAGGGAAAAAAACAGTAGGGGAAGGGTTCTTTTTTTCTCCTCAGGAGCAGCCCAAGGAACATCGAAAGCCCAGAGGGAGAGTTCTGGTTCCATCCCCTTCAGCCCATCTCGCCCCGGGATGCCCACCACCTTCCCTAGTCGGAGGCCCTGCCCACCCAGCTCTGATACCTCACTCAGATGCAGGCTAAAGAGCCCATCCTGGAGGCTGCTGACTGACGCCCCGGTCACTCTGTCCAGCCCAATGACAGTTTTGACCTGGGACTTTTTGGGGTCTGTGAGAATCACATACCCCTTGGTTAGGAGAAGAATCCGAGGAGAAGTCTAGGGGCGGAAGAGGAAAGCGTGAGGGAAGGCAGGGTGAACCACTCCACTCCACAGGAGCACACACAGCCCTCCCTCCAGCTGCTCTCCAGCTGCCAGTGTGTGGCCGAGGTAAGCACTGTAGGAGCTCAGCACGCAGGTCTTCACCTTGCCGTTGCCACGATTGACCTTCTTCACAGTCTCTGCCATCAGAACAGGCCCTTCGTCCCCACCTTTCAGCTTCTGCAGCTTGGGGTTTCCTTGCAGCCCAATGTAGTCACCGCGGAATGGGATAGGGACACTGAGGACACACGAGAGGTATGCAGTGGAGACAAGGCCTCCACAAGGCTGTCCCTCTCCGCCCAGAGCGCCCATCCTAGTCCTCCCATGCCCTTCCCCTACCTCCATGTATTCTCTCTCAGTGGTCCACAGAGCACCACTTGTTGGAAAGGCAAACTGTGGTCCCCACCCCAGACCTGCTGAATCAGAGACTCTGAGGAGGGCCACGGCATCTGGGTATGAACAGTCCTGCCAGGTGATTCTGATGCAGGCTCAAGTCTGAGAGCCACCTCGTGGTGACCTGGCTGGAGGCCCTCACCTCTGGGGATAGGAAGCCTTCTTGCCCTTGAACAGTTCACTGGCACAGAGCTTTTCCCTCAGCATCTCTACCTGCTTGGGGGCCAGCTGATCCCGGAACTTCTTGCACTGTGAGGAGGGAGGGATAGGAGCTTAGATCATGGAGTGGGAGAAGAACAGGGTTGGGAAGAGAGGTAGAGACACGGACTTTAAGACACTAGGGAGAAGAGAGACATAGAGGGAAAAGCACAGGCACTAGACACTTCAGGGAGAGGGTAAGGGCTGGATCACCATTGAGGAGGAGGGCGGAAACTAGGGGCAGCTAGGAGGAGGGAATGGAGACAATCAAGTAAGCATCGTGAGGACTGTGTATGCCCAGCACTCAGGGCAAGGCTTAGCCAGACAGGGGCTCAGTGAGCATTCTCTGAATAAAAGAACAGATGATATTATGCTAAGTGAGATAAGCCAGATACAAAAGGACATATTTTATATGTTCCTCACTTTCTTTTCTTTTTTTTTTTTTTTTTGAGTTGGAGTCTCACTCTGTCGCCCAGACTGGAGTGCAGTGGCCGCTCCCGGCCACCAAAGCCTCAGCCTGCTGGGCTCCGGCGATCCTTCCACCTCAGCCTTCTGAGTCGCCGGAATTACAGGCGCGCTACCACACCCGGCTAATTTTTTGATTTATTGTAGAGATGAGGTCTCGCCTGCCCTGGTGGGTCTCGAACCCACGGGCTCAGGCAATCCACTCACCTCAGCCTCCCAAAGGCGCGGGACTACAGGCTGAGCCACTGAGCCCGGCTTGTTCACCACTTTCATATGAGGTACGTAAAAGAGTCAGATTCATAGAAACAGAAAGTAGATTATAGGATATCAGGGGTTGGGAGAAGGGAGGACGGGGAATTATTACTTAATGGGTACAGAGTTTCAGTTTGGGGTGATGAAAAAAGAGCATGGATATGGGTGGTGGTGATGGTTATACAACAGTAGGAAAGTAGCTAATGCTACTGAACTGTGACTTCAACATGGTTAAAATGGCAAAGGTGAGGTTATGTATATTTTACCACAATTTTTTTTTAGTTGGAGTCTCATTCTGACACCCAGACTGGAGTACAGTGGCATGCTCCCGGCCACCACAGCCTCAATCTGCTGGGCTCTGGCAATCCTTCTGCCTCGGCCTTCCAAGTAACTGGAACTACAGGCATGCGCCACCACGCCCAGCTAATTTTTGATTTATTGTAGAGATAAGGTCTCCCCAAGTTGCCCAGGGGGGTTTCAAACCCGCAGGCTCAGGCAATCCACTCCTCTCAGCCTCCCAAAGTGCTGGGATGACAGGTTGAGCCACCGAGTCCAGCCAACCGCATTTTTAAATGGAAAAAAGAAAGCAGAAGAGGAAGGCAAAGAGGAAAATTGGAGGGAGAAGAAAAGAACAAGTGAGAGGAGAGGCCTGGGTTCCGCTCACCTTCCACTGGTGGAAGAGCTGCCGCAGCTCCTGATTGGCTGTGCTGAAGCACCTGTAAGGGGCGGCGGGCCACCTGCGATCCAAGACACTGGTGGATGGCAAGTTGTTCTTCAGCCCCAGCAGGAATTTCTGTGCCTGGGTTGGGAGCAGGGTATGGGGAGTGAAATGATAGGAAGAGACACGTCCTGACAGGCAAACTCGCACCCAGATCCTGCCACTTGTAAGGAGGAAGGCCACCCATACTGAGAAGAAAGGGGAGTTGCCTCCTAGCTCCCGTCAACACAATGTGTAGGCTCGAGGCTGGCAGAGACAGCGTGAATGGGAGATTGGAGTGAGAAAAGGATTTGTTCCACCCAGTGACTTGCCACACAGGGCAGTGAGGTGGGAGGAATCATTATGAAAGCTGGCCTCAGTATTTTGCTCCTGGCCCGGTGCGGCGGCTCTTGCCTGTAGTCCCAGCACTTTGGGAGGCCAAGGTGGGAGAATTGCTTGAGTCCAGGAGTCTGAGACCAGCCTGGGCCACATAGCGAAACCTCATCACTACAAAAACAAAAATATAAAATAAGCCAGTCAAGGTGGTACACCCCTGTGGTCCCAGTTAATCGGGAGGCTGAGGCAGAGAGATCACCTGAGGCCAGGAGTTTGAGACTGCGGTGGTGATCTTGCCATGGCACTCTGGCCTAGGCAACAGAGTGAGATCCGACTCAAATATATATATATATATATATATATATATATTGCTCCTGTTGTTTCCTATTCTCTCGGCTCACAATCATTTACAGTTGGCCGTCATGTCTCTGTCAATTACTGGCTAAATACCAACTCTCCTCTCCTCTCTCATCAGTCAAGGCCAAACACGTCAGCCTCCATTCTCCATTCAAAGTCCAGCCCCACGTCACAGGATCTACTGTATTCCCCAGGCCCACCACCCAAATAGGACCTCCTGCCATGGCCCCTGCCCAGCCCCTGCATGACCACTCTGTGCCTTCACTCATGCAGCTCTAGGCTCATCTCTGCCAACCCGCAGCCTCCCACCCTGAGAGATGTAGCTGAAAGCCCTCTCTGGTTCCTGGGTCCCAAGTCGCTTCTCCTTTCTTCAAAGTCCCACAGCACTTTGCCTATACTCTGTCTTTGTACCATGGTTACTTGCATAGAAATAATCTCCCTTTTCTAAACACTGAGTACTTTGAATCAGGATTCCAGGTCTAGAATTTTTTTCACCATTCAACATTTATTGAGTGTCTACTCTGTGCCTGTCACAGTTCTAGGTATGGGGGCACAGCAGTCTTCATTTCATTCTGCTTTAATTCTACTGAGGGCTGGGAAAGGGGCCAGACCACAAGCAAACAAACATATTATTAATGTCAGATAATGACATCAGCTGTGATGCAAAGAAGCAGGTGCTGAGGTGAGAATGAGCAATAGCATATTCCAGAGACAGAAAGAAAGCTAGCATGGCTGAAATAAACCAAGCAAAAGGAGAGAGATCAGAGAGTTGACTGGGGCAGAAGAGTAACATAATCTGACTTGTCAGTTCTTTTTTTTAATTCAATATAATTTACTTTTTATTTTGAAAGTGTTTAAACTTACCGAAAAGCTAAATAGAACAATACAATGAATATCTGTATTCTTTCTGTATACCCCTCACCTAATTGCAGCTGATAACAATAACACTTTGCTCTATCTGTGTATGCTAACACACACAAACATGAGCACATATATACATACAGCATATACATAACCCTTGCCATCATGTCATCCCAAAGTCCATTACAGATATCATGATATTTTCCCCTAAAACTTCAGCATGCATCTCCCAAGGACTGGGACCTTCTCCTACACAATCATAATTCCATCACCACACCTTTAAAAATCAACATTAATTAGATACACACATCTGATAGGAATCCACACTCAAATTTATCCACATGTCCTTTATAAACTTCTCAACTTGTCATTTTTACTTTGTTTTTAGCTTTCCTGTCCCGAGATCCAATCAAGTTCAATAAACGGCATCTGACTGTTTAGTCTCCTCCAATCTAGAGCCAGGACTCTTAAGTTTGTATATTCCAGATAGCACGTAGCACCCTGTTTGTCTATGGCATAGAATTATTGAAGATATTTTTTAATGACTTGATTTTGGGCATCAAGTGTAAGATATTACAAATCAAGTTCCAGACCATCCAAATGATTGGAATTTTTACGCAAATGTTTCACTAAGACATTCAGTTAAAAAAACTAAAAGAGTAAAAGGCAGAACACACCGTATATTGCTATAACTCTGCAAAAACTAGCCCATCCCTTTGACACTTCCACTGCAGGCCTACTGGGCTTGGTCCACAGGATCCAGGCCTGGGAAGCCTCCAATCACCCTGGAGTCCCTGTCCTTGGTCTGGTTGATTTAATTCAGCAAACATTCCTAAGTATAGGCCACCATCCTCTTTGTTCCAATTAATGTGGCACCTCTGAGGGTTTTCTTCTTTTTTGTGTTTGTTTTGTCTAAACTTGGAAAGTACTGCCCTTCCTTATTGGGTCCTCCTACTCAGGTCTGCCCAGGGCCATGGATACCCAGGTCCCTGTTAGTGGGGGACAGTCTTAGGCAGCTGTTCAAAGCTCTGAAGCCAAATAGCTCTACTGCATCCTAGCCCTACTGGACCTTAACCTCTCTGAACCTTAGTTTTTTACCTATAAAATGGGAGAAAGAAAAGGGCCTACCTCACAGGTTTGCTGAAAACATTCGAGTTAACGCATGTATAAAGAGCTTAGTACATAGTAAGTGTTCAAAAGATAATGGGCACTAGCATTAGTCCAGACAATGGCAAACTGGGATAGTTAGAAACACAGGTGGGGGAGGGTGTGTCGATGCCCAGTGGCCCCTGCATGCTTCCACGGAGGGGTGTGATTTATCGAAATGCTGGTCAAAGGCCAGCAGCCTCTGGGCTGACATTCAGCAGCTGCCTGATAATAAACAGGAGAAAGGAAAGGTGGAAGGAGGGCAGTCAGGAGATAGGAGCGAAACCAGATTACAGGGTTCAGGTATGTGGCAGGAGAGCAGAGCACGTACTCTGGAAGGCATACGCTCTGGACTCACAGGAGGAGAACCCTGGAAGATGGAACTTCCCTGGGGAGGAAGGAGAAGGAGGAATTGGAGGATCCGGGAGGCCACGAAGAGGGACTCCAAATGTGCACGCCTCCCGTCTGATTGAGCACAGTTAACAAGGGTCCTAAAAACTGTCAAAAACGAACCGGATGCAGTGGCTCACACCTGTAATCCTAGCACTTTGAAAGGTCAAGGCAGGAGGACTGCATGAACCCAGGAGTTCGAGACCAGCCTAGGCAATAGAGCAAGATCTCATCTCTACTAAAAATCAAAAGGTTAGCCAGGTGTAGTGGCATGCACCTATAGTCCCAGTTACTTGGAAGGCTGAGGCAAGAGGATCACTTGAGCTTAGGAGTTGGAGACTACAGTGAGCTATGGTTGCACCACTGCACAACAGCCGACAGAGTGAGACACTGACTCAAAAGGAAAATAAAAAAATTAAACCAGCAGAAGGCAGTTGCAGTTTACTCCACCAGCCCTCTGTCCAAGATCCCCTGCTCTTCCTCCCTCTGTGGCTTTTCCCAAAGTTTCCCTTGAAGTGCTGTTCTCTGCCTGGTTTCCCCCTAGCACTTCTCAGAAGCACCATTGGTGTCCAACAGATGTCTCCAGACACTGCTGTTCTCTGACCCTGTTTTACTCCTACGGGAAACTGCCTATAGTTTGAATATGTAGGCCTGGTCCTGGCTCCTTCCTGCCTATCGTGACCCAAGTCCTCCAGAATTAGGATAGGTCCTTCCTGAGACTTACTTTTTTCTTTCTTTTTTGTTTGTTTTGTTTTGTTTTTGAGTAGGAATCCCCTTCCATCGTCCAGGTTGGAGTGTAGTGGCATGCTCACGGCAACCACAGCCTCAACCTGCTGGGCTCAGGTGATCCTTCCAAGTAGCTGGAACCACAGCCACGTGCCAACATGCCTGGCTAATTTTTTTATTGTGTAGAAATGAGGTTCCGCCAAGTTGCGTAGGCTGGTCTCAAACTCTGGACTCAGGCAGTCCTCTCACCTCTGCCTCCCAATGTGCTGGGGTTACAGGCATGAGCCACCGCACCCAGTTGAGACTTACTTTCTCACCCACCTGCTATAGTTTCAGAGGGAATAGAAGGAAGGTATGACTCTTCTATCTTCACCCCAACCCTAAAATGGATCACGGGTGGCTGGGCTGGTTAACCCCTTTGTGTGTCTCATGCTGTTCTACAACAAGGCCTAGCTACTTCCACTGTTGTTAAAATCCAGCCCCAGTCTCTTCTTGAGCCTGTTTGCCCATGGACCAGATGGTGGGTGTGCTGGGACCCCTTCCTGCCACAAGATTGCCTGCAGGGGCCACTCATGCCAAAATGCTGTCTGCTTCTGTCCTGGCACCCAAGGCGCAGGTGCTGCCCTGCAGCTTGCTGCCCTGTCCCTTCTTCTCCTAGGATTTCAGTACATGCATGTTAAGGAAGCTCTTGAGGAAAAGTTTTGAGTCATCTTTTCTCAACCCCACATCTTCCTTGTCCAAATCTGTCTCTCCCTGCTCCACCCCCACTCCCACCCTAACCCCCACCACTCACCATACTCTTGTAGATGAAATTTGCCAAGGTGAGGGCAGCCCCTGACCGGAAATACTTTCGGTAATTCTTGCGGGCCTGGTAGAAACATACAAGAAAGAAGCCAAAGTGAAGACAGACAGATTCTAGGAGAGGTTCTACTATTTTTCAACCACACAAGGAACAGAGTAAGTTAAAGAGCTGAGAAAGTAGCTGGAAAGAGGGAGTAAAGACAGACAAGCTGGCAGCGAGGATGTTTAGAGCAGAAGGCAGAGCTCTGCTGCCAAGTCAGACGTCCACACACTTAGACACCGACATGGGTCTCCCCGGCAGGCATCCACACCCCCAGATACACACCCACACAGTCCTTCGCATGGAGGTTTGGCCTGGGTACAGGCAGGACTCAATCCCTGCTGCTCTTTCTCCTTAGCAGTGGCACAATCCATGAGGAAGCATGTGTGGCGAGGAAGCCCCTTCCCCTCCTCATTACCTTCCACCCTCTCACGAAAGCCTGGATCAACAGCGTGGATGCCTTTATCTTCCCATAGTGTCTCTTTTGCTGTGGAATACATTAGAGTTGTTAGAAACACCCCACCTCCTGAACCACCTCCCATCCCACCCATTAGAGTGAAGGGGATAGGGCTTTGGGAACGACAGTACCATGTTGCCCCGAAACCAAGAGGAAATGAGGATCTGACTCTTCCGCATAAGCTGGTAGTGAGTGCGACAGCGCCAGCCACGGTAGGTCTTCTGGATGAGCGTGGCCAGCTGCTGGAGCCGAAGGCGCCTCTGCTCTTCCAGGTAGAAAAGCTGTAGAGAAACACTTAACAAGCATCTGCTGAATCCTAACCCTTAATTCTGCTGAATTCTAACCCCATCGCCAGCACTGTGCTAGGTTTGGGAAATCAGGCACAAGCCTACTTTACCACAACCCTCAAGAGCTCTGTCTCAGGCAGAGGCACTCAGAGAGAGCTGTGGGGCACACCCAGCTCCAGGCTCAGGGAGGATGGGGACCCAGGAAAACGTTCCTGCAGAGAGGAGATTCCCCATCCACCATCCTTTCAGGTTGCAGATGCTCCCTTCCCCTCCAATCTCTTTCTCTAGGGCCTCTCAACTCCTCCACCCCCCACCCCCACCAAACGCAAGTGCCCTCTCTGACTCACAGTCTTGGGGCTTCTTATGAAAATCTTTGTCTTCCCAAAGGCCAGCTCCTCTGAGGACAGGCTCAGCTCCTCCAGGACCTTCTTGACCCCTTCCCTGTAGGAGCAGAGGGAAAGCTGCAGAGGGAGAGAGTCCTCTTCTACTCTGTCCTGACCCCATCAGCCTCCGGGAACTGATCACACAACTCATTCCCTTGATGATCCCTGTCCCAACTTCAGCAGGTGTGCTCAGAGCCTCTAGGTCTCTCCCCCAGAGAAGTCTCCCACCCTGTCCTTCCCTGCTTCCCAGTCTCGCCACGGGGCCTTACCTGTCTCCTCTGTTCCAGTGAGGCCAGGTGCTCCGGCTCAGAAGTCGGTACCTTTCCAGGAAGGGTCCGTACCCCTGGCGGTAGGCATAGCCCGCCCGTCGCACCCGCACATTCTCCAGCAGCCCCAGGTAGCGAGCCTGGGTGGCCACCAGGTCTGAGACGAACAGGCCTCGCTGCTGGTGCTCATTGGGCTTTATGCACCTGTGTGGGAGGTAGGGCAAAGCACAGGCTTGAGCAGCGGACACCTTGCCAGGGTCACCCATCTCCATGCCACTGTCAACAGACACACTGGCCTCCCCAGTTTCACTCACTTCTGTGTTGTCCCTGCCCAACCCGATGCTTCCCCCACAGGACTCTCAGCTCCTCATCCGGCTGTTCTGTTCTCCCTGAGGAAAGGACCCTTATATCCTTACTCCCCCCCGCAGACATGTTCCAGTGTGTGGACTCTGCACATGCCATCATATATGTAGCATGTCCCCCAGCACGCCAGCAGTCACCTGATGTAGTTGGGGTTCTTGGAATACAAGTTCTTTGTGAGGATGGCCACAGAATTCTTGAACTGGGCCCCAGCAGTCGGGGGGCGTTTGAGAGACACCTGCTTGGGGTTGCCCTCAGGAAACAAGGACTGAAGGAGGGGGTGCTGAGCCTTCCACATGGCCTGGGACAGGTCTCGGAAGAGTAGGTCATTGTTCTTGTCAATAAAGCCAGCCACGTTGTATGTCACCTATGGAGGAACAGCTATTGGTTTGGAGACCCCAGGACATTATCTCAGTACTGGCCATCCCAGTCTCACTGTGAAATATTCTCAGCTCTCATCTCCCCCCAGTTCCTCCCCACTGCCTTCAGCCTGTGCCAGTCCCTAGTCTTTGCCCTCCAGCCCTGCCATGTCACCTTGCCCGCGTAGTGGCAGATGCGGAAGCAGCTGAGGCCCATGCTGTGGTCATACTTGCGCTGGGCATTCTGGGTGACTTTGCTCTCGTAGTGACCATGCTTGGAGAAAAGCTGGTTCAGCTTCGCCAGGAAAGTGGAGTCACTGACCACCCCAGGCCGCAGACACTCCTCGTCCAACATGGCCAAGATGCCTCGCTGATTCTGGGTGAAGGGATAAGAGCAGCCCAACCTAGACTTCATCCTCCATGATGTCCACATTCTCATTGCTGCTCCCTCTGCCCCTCTCATCCTCTGCCTTCTCTACCACCCTCACCATGTAGGAAGTTGGGGAGAAAGACAGGGAAAGAACATTCAAGCAATCTGGAAGGAGAAGTCCCCAAGATAAGAGAAAGTGAGCTCACATGCTCAATGAGGTTGCAGATGATGCCGTTATCAAAGTAGTCCACCTTTGTCCATGGTATGCCCTGGGGAGGGGACACAACACATTATAGGGAGCAGGTCCAGGATAAGTCTCCAGAGACCTTGCCATAGCCAGCCATCCTTTCACCCAACCCACAAAGGTCGTCAGAAGCCCCATAGCATGAAGGGTCTTTGGTATGACTTCTGTTTACGTCCCCATCCCTCCAAGGTTGCTGGAGAATTTGTGGGATGGGTGGATAGACACATGGAAGGAACCAGAGCAGCTGTGAGAGAGGGCGAGACAATGCAGAGATCCTCGTAGGTGGTGCAGGATGGGGAGGGAAGTGTAAAATGCTGAGTGAGGACTAGGAGAGAGATTCCCTGAGAGTGGGTGTGGAGAAGGATCCGTGTGTACATGGAATGGCAAATGGCCACACTACTCTGCTCCATAAAACCAGAGCACATGAGCGAGACATCATCATCAAACCATACAACTCTTCTGACACATCTTCAAAGATCTACATCAGTGATCTCAAACCTGGGTGTGTGTCACAGTCACCTAAGGGCTTGTTAAAATGCAGATTGCCGAGTCCCACTCCCCAAGTTTCTGATTCACCAGGTCTGGGATGAGGCCCTGGAACTTGCATTTCCAACATGTTTCCAAGTGACGCTGATACTGCTGGCCCACCCTTTAGGAACCACTGGCTACATGATATTTTGGGACTGTGTAATCTTTAAAAGACCCAAGAATGGTACAAAAGCAGCAGATCCAAAGACAATTGTTCTCTATTTTGAGGACTTACAGGGCATCAGGACCACAGTTGGGATAGCTCCTGGTCCCATCCAGTGGCCAGATGGCCCAGGCTGGGTCACTCCCAGTTGTGGTTGGGAACAGAGGGGCACAGGCCTTTCTTTCCCTTCTCCCTCACACATTTTTAAAGAAAACAGAATACAAAATTAAGTCAAGTTGCCCTCCCACTTCATCTCCAAAATAACTTCAACTAGTTAAATGAACGATGGTATCTTTACAATCCTATGTGGCCGTGAAAAAGGATCTCTACATACTGATGTGGAAAGATCTCTTGTTAAGTGATGAAAACAAAGTACAGGACAGAGTGTATTTACTGCCATTTGTACAAATGTTGTGGAAAAATATATTTAAGGATTTGCTTGCACACATGAAGAGACCTCTGGAAGAAGGCCCATGTTGGGTGCTTCTGGGTAGGAAGGGAGTGGAGGAGAGAGGTGGGAGGGGATCTTCCTTTTTAAGTTTTTGAGTTTTGAAGTATGGGAATGTATTGTGTAGTTGATCACTTAGATCGTTAAAATTAAAACACACAAAACCTTAAAGAAGGTCTCCACACATTGTGACCACATTGCCTGAATAAAATACTGCTGCCACAGACTCCTGAGAGCTCACAAGGGACCGTCCCTGGGAGGGCTCTGATGAGTGAGACTCTTAGCCATTCACACTTTGGGGGAAATTAGCTCGATCAGAGAGAGCTTGTCTAACACCCAGCCCTAGAAAACAGGGGTTTGCCCTGAGTCAGGGAGGGAGTGTGGAAATTTGGAGCCAGGAGGCACTTCTGGTGAGGAAGTCGGGATCAGGGTGCTACAAGAGGGGATGGCAGCAGCAGCCAGGGCCCCGAGGAGACAGAGGCTTCTGAAATGTTAGAGAAGGACACAGAAAGTGATGTGGTAGGGTGCCAAACCCAGGAGAAATGTCCCTTCTATATTTGGCTCACAGCCTGCCATAGGCCAAGCATAGCTGTCACGTCTGCCTTGTCAGGACTCTCCGCACACACACCCTTCCATCAATCTGTGCCCTGCCTGGCCTGGCCTGGCCTGCAGTGGGAGAATGGGGAAGTGGAGGATGAAGAGCAGAGAATCAGAGTGAGTCGGAAATGCTGGAAAGATAAACTGTGCAAGGGAAACATTTTGACCCTTGTGTTCCCTTCTGGGGACAACTTGGAGGCAGTTGTGACCAAGAAGCTGTGGCAGATGCCTAGAAGTCATTTGAGAGAGGGGCAGTGGGGAAGAGAAGGCCTGGTTTACCTCTCTCTTATACTCCTCCTGCTCCTCTTTCAGGGTTATCTCTATGAACACCTGCTGCAGCTTCTCATTGCAGTAGTTGATCACGAATTGCTCGAAGCTATTATCCTGCAGGAGGGCACACCGGTTAAAGACCCTCCCCCTTGAGCCTGTCCAGCTCCAACCCCAGGGGAGCAGGGTGCTGTGGTCGGAGGAGGCTCTCTCACCTCCAGTATCTCAAAACCGTAGATATCCAGGACCCCCATGACCTTCTTCTTCTCTCCGGTGCCGACCTGGAGGAGAGAGAAAGATAGTTCTGAGGACAGCCCCCTCTGCAGGCCAGGCCTTTTGGGGCAGACAGGGTTGGAGTAGGGGACAAGCAGAACTAGAGGAAATGTGACCAGCTGAAAAGGAGCTGTTCCTCCCCCATGCGCTCGAGGACAAGCAAAGAGGGAGGAAATGAGGAAAGGAAGACACAGACGGATCCCAGAGTGGTGTTCCCATGGTATGAAGTAGACGGACATCAGATCCTCTCAGGACAAGAATCATTCCTCTATTGGTAGAGCATCTTATCAAAAATCCCATGTCCTTATTTAATTAAGGTGTATTATAACCTTATAAAGTGTGATTATTCTCATTTTACAGATGAAAAAGTCAAATTTCAGAAGGGTATAAGTGCTTACGCTTACCCAAGCCAAGTCAAATCACTGCCTTTCAGTAATGGTTTCTAAACAGATGGCACTTCCATGTACATAATTTTCTAATAATAGCTTTATTGAATATAATTCACACACCATGTACAATTCAATGTTTTTGTTTCTGTTTTAGTATACTAGAAAGGTTGTACAACCAACTCTACTACCTAATTTCAGTGCATTTTCTTCACCTCCAAAATGAAATTCTGTACCCATTTAGTCACCCCCTTCTCCCTCTCTCCCCAGGCCCTGGCAATCATTGATCTCCTGCCCATCTCTATGGACGTGCCTATTCTGGGTATTTCATGTCAATGGAATTATATACAACGTGGTCTTTTGTGGTTGGCTTCTTTCACTCAGCGTGATCTTTACAAGGTTCATCCATGTTGTAGCATGTATCAGTACTTCATTCCTTTTTATGGCCAAATACTATTCTTTCATACAAATATGCCACATATGGTTTATCTACTCATCAGTTCCTGGACATCTGGGTTGTTTCTTCCCTTTGGCTATCAGAAATAAGATCTCTGTGAACAAGTGTACAAGTCTTTCTAGGACATCTTTTTTCAGTTATCTTAGATACACACTTGGGAGTGGAATTGCTGGATTATATGGTAATCATACTCTGCTTGGATAACTTTATCCAATCCTCACTAAACCCTGTGCAACAGGTGGTCATTAGTGCTATAGTCTTATTGGGCATTTCCAAGTCAGGAAACTGAGGTAAGTAGCTGATGGATGCAAATTGAAATTGAAAGTCCACATGACCAGTAAGTAGCTGATGGATGCAAACTGTCCACCTGGCCAGCGTGGTGACTCACACCTATAATCCCAGTGCTTTGGGAGAATCGAATGAGGCCAGGTGTTTAAGACCAGGTTGTCCATCTAAAAAACCAGTGATGTTTCTGCAGCAGGACACGATTGGAAGGAGCTTTACCCTCTCCCTCATTCTCCTTACCCTGCCCATCTCAGAAATCAATGTATGGGGCAGGTAACCAGGGCAGGAAGGTGAGGCAGACCAGTGTGTGATGAGAGAGAGGAGCAGCCACTCACCTTGATGTTCTCATTGATTCGATTCACTATCCAGTTGAAGAGTCGATTGTAGATGTTCTTAGCCAGAGCGTCCCGAGCATACTGAGCCTGCAGGGTGAGACTATGCCAGTCAGCAGGGCAGCCACAGAATGATTCAAAATCAGCCCCGCTAGCAGCGCCTCTTACCTGGATGACATTCAGTGCAGTGACCACCTTTTCTCTGGCCGTTTCCATGGTCCTTGAGCACAAAGCTCTCTCTAGTTCCTTTGACTTTAAACCGACCAACTCCCCAATCTCCTGAACATCTGGAGTAATGAGAAAATACAACACAGTCTTTGAGGGGACTTTCTGTCAGGGGAGGGAGGGAAAGATGATATGTGAAGCCCCCTGGAGACTGGTGTCCCCTGAGTCTTACTGTGGAGGTCATTGCAGCCAACGCAGAACATGGCCCTGGAGGAATCTCAGGGGATAGGGCGGGGCGGGGGGGGCATGCAAGAGAAGGGGGACCTGGGCACTTTATGTTCATCATCTACTATGAGACTCTCCTGGAACAGATGTGATTATCACCACTTTGCAGAAGAATCAGCTGAGACTCGGAGACATATCAGACCTAAATCTATCAAACTTCAAAAACCTCATTCCGATAGACTTCACTGGGGATTCTTGACAAGTCTGTTTAAGAGAGAGCTTAGGATTGGGCTGAGTGGGACTGCATCAGGGTGAAGTCAATTACACTGGAGATGACAGAAGGACAGGACTTGCGGTAGGAGATTCAAGGGGCTGGGTGGGGACTCCAGCAGGATGATGCGGACCTCTCCCATCACAGATGCCACTTGCTGGTATCCCATTGGCCTGGCACTCGTCAGCCACCTTCACATTCCCCAGCTTCAGCACCAGGGCTGTCACCTCCAGCACCTGTTGGATCTCCTCCTCCGAGAACCCGATCACTGTCATTGCATTCTTCAGCAGAAAGCAGAAGTCAGAAGCTGAACTGGCAATGCCAGTCCAATGCCTCTCAGAGTACCTACCGCCTAAGGGCCCAAGCCTGTCACCCTGGGCACCCACCTGTACAGCCTTGAAGCTGGAGGCATCATCCATGCCATCCACTCTGGAAACCTCCTGGTTCAGATAGACATAGCCACGCACATCCCGCTCAAGCTTCAGGGCCTCTGGGAGGGACAGTGTGAGGGAAGAGGATTAGTCTCCAGGCTTGACCCCTCACAGCCCCTGCCCTAGGTGGGCTCATTCATTTATTCAAAGGAGCCATTTTTTGTTTTTGGTTCTTCCCCTTCCTCCTTTGTTTTGGGATCACCAATTCCTGTAATGATAGACTAAATGTATAAATTGTGTTTAGTGTTTGGGTATTCGTACTTATTGGGTATTGGGTTTTTCCCCCAACTTTTATTTAAAAAAAAAAAAGCCTCATTCTATTTTTTTTCCTATCATCAGTAAGGTTCTTTTTTTTTTTTTTTTTTTTGAGTCCACAGCCACAGCAACGTCCCCTGCTGGGCTCTGGGCTCAGATAATCCCTCCACCTTCCGAGTAGCTGGAGCTACAGGCATGTACCATCATGCCAGGCTAACTTTTTTTTTTTTATTTTATTTATTTTTTTATTTTTTGAGTTGAAGTCTCATCCTGTCGCCCAGACTGGAGTGCAGTGGCACACTCCTAGCCACCACAGCCTCGACCTGCTGGGCTCTGGCAATCCTTCTGCTCAGCCTTCCAAGTAGCTGGAACTACAGGCACGCACTCCCACACCCGGCTAATAATTTTTTTATTTACTGTAGAGATGAGATCTCGTCAAGTTGCCCAGGCTGGAGTCAGGGTTCTAAACAGTGAAAACAAACCAGCAAACCCTCTGTCCTGCACAGGGACTCTGGAGGATGAAGGTGAGAGCTGGGCTGAGCATGCATCTCCCACGGCCTGCAGCCCGTAGCCAGGGTTGGCTCATTCCACATTTGTCCACTGAGCACCCACAGAGTGGCAGGTAGCATGTTCTCTGACACCGACACCTCCTCTGGAAGAAATTCCCTGATGCTGAGGGGCTGAGCCTCAAGACTTTCTTGCATTCCCCATTGGTGGGTCTCTAACCAGCCTCCTCATAGGTGGGGTTTTGTTTTTCTCTCCCACAGATGAGCAACTCCAGATTCTGCGTGCCTAGCTGGCATGCAGGAACATTCTCTTCTGACAAAATGAATTGAGGAAGAGAATGGTCAAAGCTCTTTCCCTGAAATGGGAATTATCTGTTATGCAAATGATCTGAGAATCAGTGTCCCTCAAACTAGAGTATAATGGCAGCCCCCCCTGGCACACAAATTTCGAAGCAAGAGCCTGCTTAGGAGGGGCCTCTAAAGGGAGAATGAGTCAGAAAGCCTGGGGATGATGACACCAGGGTGACCTCACCCAGAGCTGGTTTAAACCAATGGGTGACAGGATCAGCCAGAACAAGACATGAGTGCCTATGATTTAGGCAAATTGAACATGACCAAAACTTTTTTTTTTTTTTTGAGTTGGAGTCTCACTCTGTCACCCAGACTGGAGTGCAGTGGCACACTCCTAGCCACCACAGCCTCGACCTGCTGGGCTCTGGCAATCCTTCTGCCTCAGCCTTCCAAGTAGCTGGAACTACAGGCGCGCACTACCACGCACGGCTAATTGACCAAAACTATTAAGCCAGGAAGGAGGATGAGACCTGTGGGGGCCCTTGGAGGTCACAGAGATCTCCAAGAAGGGAAAAGGAGATAGCAAGGTCCAGTGGGATCACCAGAAACCAAAGTGACACTCCTTGGGGGCCAGACGCCCACAGTGTTCACAGTCAGAGGGGAGACTGGGAGGCAAACTCTGGCAGGTCTTGAAGTCCCACCTGACCTTCCAGTGATGCCCACCTGGAGCCACTTGGAGCCAGTCCAGCATCCTGGCTGGGATGGGCTCTTCCCAGGACAAAGCAAGGGGCTCCATGCCTTCTGCTCCTACAGTCAGCTGCTCACACTATATTGCAATGGATCTGCTCAAGCACCTGTCTTCCCTAGAAGACAGTAGTTCCTTGAGGACAGGGCCTATGTCTTCTTACTCAACTCTCTATCCTTAGAGACTAGCATAATATTCGAGAGATGTGGGATAAATGAATAAATGAATGAAACCTCTTTAGGCTATCTAAGAAAAGAAAACCATGAACAGCTTCAACTAGAGTTCAGTGGAGGTTCTTAAACATTGCCTGCTTCCCAGCTTGAATAAAACCCCTTAAGTCGAAGGTAGGAAGGAAGGCAGAAGGGGATGAATGTTCTGTATCTGAAGCCTACTTGGGGGGAGAAGAACCCAGGCCGAAGAATGAGAGCAGAGAAGAGGCAAGAAGGCATAGTCCCGGCAATGAGACCCCAGAAAAGGAAGAGAACATTGTTCCCACCAAAGGCTGGGCGAGGCTCAGGGTGGGAAATGCAGGCCCGGAAAGTCTGGACGGGTCAGGGAAGAGGCCTGCGGGGGCCCCAAGGGGCCCACGGGTTGTGGGATGGAATGGAGGTTGGGGCCACTTTGCCATGTGTCCGGGGCAGGCACGTACTCAGCAGCTGGGCATCCGCTCCAGCCAGTAGCTGATAGAAGATGTGGAAGTTCCTTTCTCCCTTGAGCTGCTTCACCACGCGGGATTTCTCAAGCAGATCTGGCAGAGAATTGAAAAATAACCTGCTGAGGGCCTGAGCCTGCAAACTTCCCTCTAATTCTGCCCTTCTCTGCTGCTCCCAGTAGTTGGGAAGCCTCCTAGAAGTCTAATACCCCTCCCTTCTCCAGGAGCAGATCAGAGGGAGCGGGTACTGGGGGGCAGGAGGAAGGGAAGTGAATGAAATAAGGAAGACACGTACAGTTTGTGATGACGCCACCGAGGGGGGATCCCTTGAAGTCAAACTCAATATCCATGTATTTTCCCTTCAGAGAGAGAACAGAGAGAGAGAGACTTTGCTTCCTCCTCTTCTTCTCACCCTCTCTGGGAGGGGCCCAGGCCGCACTCCTCCCTCTCAAGCCCCCACCCCCTCTCTTCCAGGGCCTCGATGCTCACTCACAAATCGAGAGGAGTTTTTGTTGCGAATGGTCTTGGCATTGCCAAAAGCTGCAGAGAGGAAGAGAGGAGGAAGCGAGGTGGCTGATGGGGGAGTGGGTCCAGGGACGGGGGGGGGGCTCCTTCCAGTCCCGTGCCAATTGCAGATTTTTCAGGCTCCTCGAAAGCAATGGGTTTGGAGGATCTAGGGCTGATGACTCTGGGGTCAGGGGGTGGGATGGAGGGGCACAGATCAGAATGCTCACCCTCCAGCACTGGGTTAGACTGAAGCAGCTGCTCCTTCACCGAGTTCACCTGCTCCCCTTTCCCGCAGACGGCAGCCACGTAAGACATCACCAGCTTGCTGGCCTCTGTGCACAAGAAACTCCAACGGGGATCCCTCCCAGGGCCCGCCCATCCCCTCCTTAACTCCCTCTTCGCATCACCTCACCACCCCTCAGAGGCAGAAAAACTGAGAAGGAAGTGCTGGGAGTGAGGACTGGGCCTGGCTTGGAAAGAGACAGAGGTGGCTCCACGTGTTCCCCAGCCCGAGGCCTCACCAGTCTTCCCGGCTCCACTCTCGCCTGTGATGAGGATACACTGGTCTCGGTCCCTGTCCCTCAGTGACTGGTATGCCACATTTGCCAATGCGTAGCTTGGAGGGGAGGAAGTGGGCAATGACTAATGTGAGGCCGGTCCAAGACACCATATCCACTCAGCCCTGGGGTCCCAGGGTCATCCACTCTCCCCCCTTGGAGCAGACTAGGCAAGAAGTGACAGGCCTCAGAAGGGGCCTCCAGAGGGCCAGGGAAAGAAGGGACAGTTGGAGGACCCCCCTTCGAGGGACGGGACAGAGGAGATTAGGACGCCTTGTTGTCAAGAAGCAGGGCCCTGTCAGCCTGCCCTTGATCCCGCTGCTCACATATGGGGCTTCAGCTCATAGAAGGTGTAGTCCCGATACTTGGCAATGAACTCTGGGCCATAGATGGGCAGCTGTTGGTAGGGATTCACTGAGATCACCACGTTCCCAATGTAGGTCTGGAGCAGGGAAGAAGGCGAAGCAAATGAGGCCGGGCGTGAACTGTCCACTCACCGCCAGGGGCACCCATGTCATACTCACATAAATCTCCTTGTTTTCATAGCGAAGCTGAAGGTTCTTGAGCAGTGACTCCTCCACCAGGGGTTCCAGGAGGACGAGGTCCTCCACCCCCACGGAACCTTCCAGGAGAGGCATGGCCGAGGGGCTGCAGATTCTGTAATTTGGGGGAGCAGTTTGCTGATGTCAGCTCAGCATCAGGGGCCAGTACTGTTTGAAGGGAGGAGGGCAGAAAGTCTCAGAAGAGCCTCCCTCTTCCCTCTGCCCTAGGAGGCTTCTCTGGACTCGCCCAAGGTGACTGAGGGAGGCTGAAATTCTCAGGGGAGGTGGGGAATTCTCCCTAGGTTAGGGTGTGTGGGGAGTGGGCGGAGGTGGGACAGGACCACCAGTCTCTGACCACAGGGGAAGGAAGGCACCCAGCAGGCTGTGACGGGGGTGGCAGAGCTGTGACTGGAGAAGAGAGGGCCGGGGAGGAAAGCTGTGTGTGCCCAGCTGGGTACAGAAAGCCCCCTCCCTCCTCCCGCAGTTCCTGTTTCAGTCATCCAAGCCACCTGCACCCATTTCAGAAGTTCTTCCAAAAGTCTTCCCTCCCCTGGCATTGCTACAGTGAGTTTCATTTTTTTAAAGGGACAAGGATCGAGGCACGGGTTTCTCCATAAAGACCGGAACACCCCACACAAAATGAAAGTGGGGTTGTTTCCCTACATATTTCCGTTCCCAGCTTTTATGACCGTTCCTGTAACCTTCTGGCAGGGACTTTGCCCCAGAGGGACACACCCAGCTTGAGTAGCTGTGGAGTGGGCAAGGAAGGGCAGGGTAGGAGTGGCAGAGAGGTTGTGGGGCTGGGCCCCCATGCGGCAGGCACATGGCAGGTGTTCCCTGGGAGGAAGCCCAACCCTTCTCAATGTTCCTATGAGACTGCATAGGCGGGGTGGTGGCGCAGGACAGAATTATTAGTACAATGGTCAATGCCACTCCCAAACAGGAATCAAAAAGACACATCCTCCTACTCTTTTACATGTCTGAACCTGGGTGGTGAGGAGAGGGGAGAAAGCAGGAGTGAAATGGAGGCAGATAGAGGCCTCAGGTTTTCTTCCCCCTTCACTGGGCTTTCCCCTAAGCTCCTGGAAAAGAGAGTACTTGTCACTTCCTGGAAGAACACAACTGAAGAAGCCATAAGAACATCAAGAATGGCCATCTCTAGGGATCACATAGCGTCTACCATGGCCAGGCAGGGACCGAAACACTATACATGTACAAATTCAATTGACACACTATCCCCATGAAGTAGGCACTATTATCACTTCATATTTTCTGGATTTAAAAAAAAAGCTGTCTTTTAACTAATGGCAAGGAAGGATGAGAAGCAGAAGGTGGGTTGGAAGAAGGCATCTTTTTTAGATTTGGATTTGAGGGGAGGGGGAATGGATTGCCTAGGCTGGAGAAAGGAAAAGGAAGCAGGCCCCAGATGGGGCACCCCAAGGTGTTAAGAGAAGCAGTGAAAGGTCAAGGCAGAACTCACCCAACACTGGAACTAGGGTGTAACTTCGGTGTGCCCTGAGAATGGTGGATGAAATCCCGATTTAACAGGAAGGGGGCATAGGAGTCCCACGTCCCAAGGGTGGCGAGGTGTCCTAGTTAATGGGAGCTGTCCATGGTGTTGGCAAGCCAGGAAAGAGGCTGTCCTCCTCCGTCAGTGTCCACTCTTCTGATCTTCCTTTGTGCTGCCTCCTGCAGCTCAGGCGGCCTGTACCGGTCAAACCAGGAGAGGCCAGAGATGGCAGCTCAGCACAAAGTCCGAGGCTGTCCCTGCTAAGGGCGTGGCTCACTTAACCCTTCCCTGGCCTGAAACTCCGGAGGAGATGCTCAGCCTCCCTCCAGAAAAGGATGGATGTCTGGCTGGCCTTAGCTGAGAAGCTCACCTAGAGAATTCTTGCCCCACAGTCCCTCAAATTTGGAAATGAAAAACTGGAGGAGCAGAATCTGTAGCCAAGGAAAACATTTTCCAAGGAGAAGGTAGGAATTTTGTCAAGAAGAAAAGTGGGATGGGGTGTCTTCCTAGCGAAGAAACTGCATCTCCCTCAAACCCACTCTTCCTAGTTTATTGGGAGTTAGGGGGGTGTGAATGAGATTACTTGGGGAGCTAAACAGAAAAACCTCCACATTCCTCTCTGCTTCCCTACCCCCATGAATCAGACTCATCACAGAGACCCAGAGATTAAAGTTAGCAATATAATACTTCACATATGTATAGACGTCCCAGGTTCACTGAGTTCCCACCCGTCTCGTCTCACTGAACAGCACGACCTTCAGGAAGGCAATGCAAATACCCCAATAGGAAGGAACACTAGAAGCAAACACCAGATTCAGAGAGGTTACACAATATGCCCACAGTTGCACAGCTCATGCGCACCAGAACCAGGAACAGAATGCAGCTCCCTGACCCTACGTCAGCCACGGGCTGCAGTCTGAGTTCTGATGTTTCTGATTTTAATCCCCTTTCAGCAGTAGGAGACCGAATAAGATCCTGAGATGCTGTTTCCTAGGCATTAGCCCAGTGGGAAATAGCTCCCTCTGATACACAAGAAGCTTATAAAATCCTATTTTCCAAAGTACCCCCTCATGCATCCGGGAAAATTCCTCAAGGGCAGGCTCCCTCTGCCTACCATCGTCTCTCCCAGGCATGCACAAAGAGCGAATTAGGTCATTGCGGACACTGAATTGAAGATAGAGACCATTCTCCAGCTCCCAGGCATGGCTACTTGATGCAAGGTCCAAACCCTATTGCTCTCACAGAAGCACTTTGCATACACTTGGCTCATCAGCAGTTCTATTATCAATCTGCCTTTCCATGATTTATTGATCGACATATATATTTGAAGAGAGGGAGACAAGGAAAAGAGAGAGAAAGAGAAAGCTGAGTGAAAGTGATATCAAAGCACAATCCTATGGATAGGTGAAACAGTGTCACAGGGTCAGAGACAGAAGTGACTATTTACCAGTGGAGGAGACAAACTGAGAGTGAGAAAACCTCTTTCCCAGGGTCACACCACTGCACACCTTGCAGAGCTGGCACTGAAACCCAAGTTTCCCTTTTTTTTTTTTTTGAGTTGGAGTCTCACTCTGTTGCCCAGGCTGGTGTGCAGTGGCACACCCATGGCCACCACAGCCTTGACCTGCTGGGCTCAGCCTTCTAAGTAACTAGAACTACAGATATATGCCACCATGCCCTGCTTTTTGATTTACTGTAGAAATAAGCTCTCGTCAAGTTGCCCAGGCTGGCCTCCAATCCTGAGTTCAAGCAATCCTCTCACCTCTGCCTCCCAAAGTGCTAAAATTTGGGCATAAGCCACTGCACCCAGTTTCAAGTCTTCCATTCTCTAGGCCAGGGATCTGCAGCCACTTGGGGTTTATCTGTATGTCCACCCATCCACTCATGTGAATGCCCCCCAGGTAGGTGCCTGCTCATGTGAGAAGTAACTCTAACACATGATGGCAATCTCAGGCTTAAAGACAATGGCCTGGGCCAGGCACAGTGGCTCAAGCCTGTAATCTCAGCACTTTAGGAGACTGAGATGAGAGGATTGCTTGAGCTCACAGATTTGAGACCAGCATGGGCAACTTGGTGAGACCTCATCTCTACAATAAATAGAAAAAATTAGCCAGGCATGGTAGCGCATGCCTGTAGTTCTGACTAATTGAAAGGCTGAGGAGGAAGGATCACTGGAGTCCAGCAGGTCGACACTGGGGTGGCCATGAGCGTGCCACTGCACTCAAGCCTGGGCGACAAGAGTGAGACTCCAACATACACACACACACATACACACACACAGAAAAAGACAACGGCATGGACATCACACCTAGGGCAACCAACCATGCTGGTCTGCCTGGGACCCAAGGTGGCTTCTCTGGACATGGGAATTTGAGTGCTAAGTCTAGGAAAGTTGGCCAGGCCCAGTGGCTCTTGCCTGTAATCCTATCACTATAGGAGGCTGAAGCGAGAGGATTGCTTGAGCCCAGGAGTTCGAGACCAGCCTGAGCAACATAGTGAGACCTCGTCTCTGCAAAAAGTAAAAAAATTGGCTGGGTGTGATGACACACGTGCCTGTAGTCCCAGCTACTCAGGAGGTTGAGCTGGGAAAATTGCCTAAGCCCGAGTTCGAGGTTGCAGTAAGCCTTGATCTGCCACTAAACTCCAGCCTGGGCAAAATAGTGAGACACTGACTCAAAAAAAAAAAAAGAAAAACAAAATAACAACTAGGAAAGTCCTGGGCAAACTGGAATGAGTGGGTCATCCTAAATTAATAAGGTACAAAATATACATCCAAGTTAACTAGGATTTTTCTTTTTTTTCTTTTTTTTTTTTTTTGAGTTGGAGTCTCACTCTGTCACACAGACTGGAGTGCAGTGGCCGCTCCCGGCCACCGCAGCCTCGACCTGCTGGGCTCTGGCGATCCTTCTGCCTCAGCCTTCCGAGTAGCCGGAATTACAGGCGCGTGCTACCACGCCTGGCTGATTTTTTGATTTATTGTAGAGATGAGGTCTCGTTGCCCAGGCGGGTCTCGAACCTGCGGGCTCAGGCAATCCACTCACCTCAGCCTCCCAAAGGCGCGGGATTACAGGCTGAGCCACCGAGCCCAGCTGGATTTTTCTTTTTTTTTTTGAGTTGGCGTCTCACTGTCACCCACATTTACAGTCACCACAGCTTCAACCTGCTGGGCTCAGGCGCTCCTTCTGCCTCGAGTCTTCCAAGTAGCTGGAACTACAGGTGTGTGCCACTATGCTTGGCTAATATTTATTGATTTATTGTATTTTTTTTTTGAGTCGGAGTCTCACTCTGTGACCCAGATTAGAGTGCAGTAGCACGCTCACAGTCACCGCAGCCTCAACCTGCTGGGCTCAGGTGATCCTTCCGCCTCACCCTTCAAAGTAGCTGGAATTACAGATGTGTACCCCACACCCGGTTAATTTGGTTTTGATTTATTGTAGAGACAGGTCTCACCAAGTTGCCCAGGCTGATCTCGAATCCCTGAGTTCAAGCAATCCTCTCACGTCCACCTCCCAAAGTGCTGGATTACAGGCTTGAGCCACAGTACCTGGCCAGTCAACTAGGATTTCAAGACCTGTCAAAACATTCTTAAGGTGGGGAGGACACACAGCGGGAGGGAACTGTGACCTCTTGCTTTCTGGGCAAAACTGAAGCAACTAGAGCTTACTGGTCTTCCTCTTCTCTTTCTTACTCCTAAATCACCTTCCTTTTTCCATTAAAATTCCTAGTTTAAGTAAGGGATAAGGGAATTTGGGGGGTAACAGAAACGTTCTATATGATTATGCTGGTGATTATATAACTGTCCATATTTGTCATAACTCAGCAAAACTGTACACCTAAAATTGGTGAATTGTGACTGGGTACGGTGACTCACACCTGTAATTCCATCACTTTGGGAAGTTGAAAGAGGATAGTTTGAGCCCAGGAGTTCGAGACCAGCCTAGGCAACATAGTGAGACTTCATCTCTACAAAAAATTATTTAAAAAAAATATATATATATATATAGCCGGGCTCGGTGGCTCAGCCTGTAATCCAGCTCTTCGGGAGGCTGAGGTGAGTGGATTGCCTGAGCCCATGGGTTCAAGACCCACCTGGGCAACTTGGTGAGACCTCATCTCTACAATAAATAAAAAATTAGCCAGGTGTGGTAGCATGCACCTGTAGTTCCAGCTACTTGGAAGGCTGAGGCGGAAGGATCACCAGAGCCCAGCAGGTCAAAGCTGTGGTGGTCGGGAGCGGCCACTGCCCTCCAGTCTGGGTGACAGAGTGAGACTCCAACTCAAAAAAAAAAAAAAAAAAAAAAATAGGCCCTGGTGAATTTTGCTGTCTACAAATTATTCTTCAACAAAGCTGGCCAAAAAAAAATTATTAAAGAAAAACAATTCCAAATCCTTTGGTGGGGATTTCTGACCATGTTGGGAAGGCAGCAATCTGATTAATCCAATTCACTCCCAGAGATAGCAGAGATATTAACTTTCTTTTTTTTGAGGCGGGTGCTCGCTCTGGTCACCCAGCCGAGTGCAGTGGCATAATTACAGTTCACTGCAGCCTTGATCTCCTGGGCTTGGGCAATTCTTCCACCTCAACTTCAGCCTCCTAAGTGACTTGGGACTACAGATGCCCACCATCATGCCCAGATAATTTTTTTTTCTTTCAGTTGGAGTCTCACAGTCACCCAGGCTGGAGGAGAGTGGCATTCTCACAGCCACCACAGTCTTGACCTGCTGGGCTCCAGCAATTCTTCCGCCTCAGCCTTCCAAGTAGCTGGAACCACAGGCACACGCTACCACGCCTGGCTAATTTTTGGATTTATTGTAAAGATGAGATCCCGCCAAGTTGCCCGGGCTGGTCCCATATCTGTGGGCTCAGGCAATCCTCTCACCTCGGTTTCCCAAAATGCGGGGATCACAGACGTGAGTCACTGTTTTTTGGTTTTGTTTTGTTTTGAAGAGATGAGGCTTGAGGCCAGGCACGGTGGCGGTGACTCACTCCTATAATCCCAGCACTTTGGGAGGCCAAGGTGAGAGGACTGCCTGAGCTCACGTGTTCTCACCAGCCTGGGCAACTTGGCGGGACCTCAGCTCTCCAATTAAAAAAAAAAAAACTAGCCAGGCGTGATGGCACATGCCTGCAGTTCCAGCTACTTGGAAGGCTGAAGAAGGATTACCTGAGCCCAGCAGGTCAAGGCTGCGATGGCTGGGAGCATGCCACTGCCCTCCAGCCTGGGCGACAGTGAGACTCCAACTCAAAAAAAAAAAAAAGCGAGAGATGAAGTCTCACTATATTCCTGGGCACAGGTAATCCTCCCTCCTCAGCCTCCCAAAGTTCTGGGATTACAGATGTAAGGCAAGCCACCACGCCTAGCCTAGCTTTTTAAAAGATGTTACGGCCAGACTCGGTGGCTCAGCCTGTAATCCCAGCACTTGGGAGGCTGAGGCAAGTGGATTGCCTGAGCCCACGGATTTGAGACCAGCCTGGGCAACTTGGTGAGACCTCGTCTCTACAATAAGTCAAAAATTAGCCGGGCACAGTAGCGCGTGCCTACTTGGAAGGCTGAGGCAGGATTGCTGGAGCCCAGCAGGTTGAGGCTGAGTGGCCAGGAGCATGCCACTGCACTCCAGTCTGAGCGACAGAGTGAGACTCCAACTCAAAAAAAAAAAGATGTTACATAGTAAAAATACAAAAACTTTCAAATACAATGGGGGAAGATACCTGGTGGTAGAAGGTC